CTGAAATATTTTATTTCTTCAACAACAAAAAGGTTTGAATCAGATTGAGCAAAATGGTAACATCTGTGTAAGACCGTGAGTACTTGAACATAAAGTAATGTTCTGTACTTTCTGTTTGAAATGTCTTAGAATTAAAAATTAAAGAAACGCTTGTCTGTGGCAGAAACTGAGTAAAATTAAACCTTCCCATAATCTCGTCAGTTAGATCTAAATCTTACTGACTGAGACAAATTGCAAAACCTTTATCATAGGCCATTCTGAGTTATGCAATACTGTATTTAAGGGCTGTCAGGTTGAATTAGTTCTTAGAAGCTTAACAATCCAACTCCAGTGTGGCTGCCGGAATGACTGAAACTAGAGAAAGAATTCAGCACAAACAGCTGATACAAAACAAAAATTTTGAGTTCACCAATAGTAAGCCTAAGTACATTTTCCAGAAAATATGACCTAAAATATGAGTTAGCATCAGTCAGGAAGCAATAGTGGAATTGAGCCAAAATCATGAGTGCTATAATTTACTTTTCTCTGTGAGTAATACAGGCTGTCATCACATTTCTATATCATTCAATCACATAATGTGTAGTGTCCATCCACACAGGCAACTAAAACTAAGTTGAGGTTTTTATTTGAATCCTCTCTATTACTTATGTTCAGTCAAAACAATCATAATTTATATGTTTTTTTACATGCCCATGTTGACATCTTGCTACCTAGAAAAGTTATGGGGCAACTGGTGAATAAGACCCACTACTGAGAAAAAGCATCTTCCCTAGTAACAAAGGTCCACACACATAGAGAGGAAACAGCACCAGGAAATCCTAACGCCTCTGCCATCTGGCCAACTTGCTGCATGTGAAGGATGCTAATACCTTTTAGAGATATAACCTGTTCTTTTGCTCTGGTAATTCTGAACATATATGTAAAGCATGTATCTGAAAAGACTGCTTCAATCACTACCTTCTAAATCAGTATAGGATTTACTACGTGTTCTAATTTTCTAATTGAATTTTCTTGTTTCCATTTTTATTGTGAAATTTTCATACATACAGAAAAGTTGAAATAATAGTACCCTATTGCCTAGATTCAATACCGTTTGAGATAGTCTTACTCAGTGAAAAAAATCTTTTTTTTTTTTTTTTTTTTTTTTTTTTTTTTGGTACCAGAAATCGAACTCAGGACCTTGTGCTTGCCAGGCAGGTACTTACGCCACTGAGCTATATCCCCGGCCCTGAAAAAAATCTAGGACATCAAAATTTCTATATACTTTGCAGTGGTTAACAATCACCCACTTCCCAAAACATAGCAGACACATGTTTTTTAAGTGATAAAGCACTAGAAACTGCAACTTCACATAGTTTTGGCAATATATAAAAGATAATGTACCGAACATATTCAGCCTCCTGTTTCACTAAATAGTTATTGTGAGCTACTATGTGCCTGATGCTGGGGAGGATGTTAAATAGAGGGGTAATATGGTGCCGCCCTACTGGAGCTCACAGTCTGTGGAGAGAGGCAGATATGTAAGCAGATCCATGCTGCACAACATGACTGAGAAATGCATTGAGGGGCCAACAGAGGAAACAACCAAGTAACTGGCTTTTGGAGATTAATAATGCTTCCATAAAGAGCATGTGTGGTTCAGGGCCTCAGATGGCAGAATTCAGTCTGACAGAAAAGATTTCAGACAATAAGCAACAGATGCAAAAACCAAGCAATATAAACAGCACACCACGTGTTTGAGGGAATGGCTAGAGTGTTCAAGCAGAAAGGTGTTACCTAATTGGTTTTTAAGGAGCAAATTCTACCACAGTAAGGAGAATGCTTGGAAGTCAGGCAAGAAATTAAAGATAGAAGTGCCTCACCTCTCACAGTCATAAGAGTAGATCCGCTCACTGGATGTGGGCTTCATCCCACATCCCATCCCACATCCCACACCACATCCCATACCATAACCAATATACTATCACTAGCATCACTGAGCTGATAGCCTTATACTACCCATTAACCTGGCTTCAGTTATCCACCAGTTATCTTTTATGTTAACTCATTCTCGTTTCTCCATATTCTATCAGGTTTCCACTTTCTAATAACTAGAAAGCTGTTGTATTGGTTACCTCCTGTAGGAAATTTCTCTAGAGATAATAAATGAGAAAACATATCTTGCTTTCTTTACTTCCCCACCAGCTGGCACAATGTCTGAAATACCATATGCTCTCAACATTTCAATGACTCGTTGAGATATTTCGGAATTAAGACATTAGGCCAACAGAAACGGGCATAGTGTGTGTGAAAACACTGGAAATAGCAAGAATGGCTCTGTTCTTTTGGTTAAAGGTGACATCAACCAAAAGACAGTATCGCCAGCTGATATAGGGGAACATCAGAGGATGAGTGAGACTGCGAGAGAGGAGCAGCAAGATAGTGAATTCATTTCTGACATGTTAAGTTGGAGTTGTCTACTATCCAGTTATGTGCCTCCTAGTCTTCAGATCATCAGATATGATCCAGTTGAACTTTTGAAACACAACCAGAATTATTTCAATGTTGAAAAATAAAGTGTCAGTCTCATTAGTCAAAATTATTAATATTTGAAATATCTTCTTTCACTTGATCTTAGCAAAAAGGCTAACGGGCAGTGGAAAATCTTTATTCAGAGCTGGCTTTCCTTTTTGGATGTAAGTTGCTGCATGTAGCATCAAATGAATGAAGAAATGATAACATAACTTTTGTCAGTAATATTGTTCAGAGAATTGAAAAGGTCATGGGATAGAAATAATAGGGATGTGAAGGAAAAGAGAAAACTAAACCAGCAGAAAGATTTTTAAGCTCTTTTATTTCTTTAGATAATATAGTATGTTTCATTTTTGTTGTTGTTTTGAGTATTTTTAGTTTTACTCTTTGTTTTTGTTATTTGTTTTTTTAGCTGGGATTCAGGGATCTACTTTTATCTAGAATTATATTTTAAACTTTAAAGAGTTTCATATAGTCTTATTTTAATGGCCTAGATTAATTTTTACAATAATCAAAGCTTCCATATGGGGACTGTATAGTCAATATATTATTAATAAAGTAACCACTTCAGTAAGCTTGATTATTCTAAAGTTCATTTGTCTCTTCAACACATTCTGTATTAAAGAACTTTAAATTTCTATCTTTACAAGGTAGAAATAAGTATATATCTCTTTTTTATAGCTATTTTCCTCCCTTTTGTGCAGAAGCATGAATGTTTTGTAAGATATCCTAGTTATAACAACTCTAAGTTTGTCAAATTTCCAAGTCATGTAAAAGATTTAATTATGCATTGTGCTTCACTTGGACTGAAATCATAAAATATATGTGTGTGCAGTATTTTTCACAATTACAATACATTTTTAAGGAAAAAATAATATCCTTTAACATATTTTCTTTACCATGTAGTCTTCAGCAAGTAGAGAAGGGCTTTTCTGAAGTGAGATTAGACAATAGAGCCACCTTCATTTTTTATGCACGTGAATGAAGAGGGCTTGAGGTTATTAGTTGAAACTGAGTAACCTTTCTAGGCTTTCATCTCTTTCTTTTCAAATTTGAATATGAAAAGCATATTCTAGTCAAAGACCATCACTCTAATGACATTTGGCAGTCATTTGATTTATTAGGTTTTAGAAAAAATTTTCCTTTAAATATTTCATCATACTATGCTAATCCTAGTAATATTGCCAGCTGCAGCCTTGTACCTGTATTAGTGGAGACAGAATGGTGTGGAATTTTCTCTGTCAACCTAGTAAAATTTCCATGAATCTACTGAATAATAAAATAACCTTATTGAAATATTCAGATTTGAGTTTTTAGTTAAAGTGTCTTAGAATACATAATAAAAGAAAATGTCTTTTGAAAGAAGGGGGTAAAATTACTTCATCAAATATTGAGGAGGTTTGACAGCAATGGAAATTATTCTTTATGGGGATATTTTTACAACAGGCTACCTATGTTTTCAATTTGATTAATTATATTGTGTGCTCTGAAATATCTACATAATCATCCTGGTGAATTTGCACACTGATGTGCATTTAACAGTGAATTCCCCAAAGCAGATCATATAAACAAGTCTGATTTTTATGTTTTGCTAATTATTATTGAAGTTGTATAATTTACAGTGGCATGTCTCTGAACTTAGAGGAGGCATTTTGATAATAAAAAAACAAATTTTAGATTGTAAAAATATATTTAATGAAGAGTTATTTTGATGTGATCTGATTTTTAAATCAGTCTCTTATTGGAAATCAGTACTCAAGGAAACATTTGTGATGCACAATAATGTCTGTGGCACCCAGCTATTAAACAGAATGGAAGTGCAAATTAAATATCATTTTAGTTGTTAATTCTGTAAATGCAAAATAAAAGTCAGTTGTAAGAGACTATATGTGTTATTAGATCTAAAATTTTGCTTCTTTTGCCTGAAAATGCATTATGTATTGCATAAAATATGTTGTGGCAGAACATATGAGAATGAGCTGTAGTTTCTACTCTAGTTAATAGAGATTCATATAGCTACATATACTATTAGCATAATAGCCATAATGCATTCAACAGGCTTTGATCTCTAGATAATTGAAACTTTCTCAGGTACTATAGATTAAATAAAAGCAGTGATAAATATATACTTCACTACATAGTTTGAAATAAGGCCAAGTGATACTTGTCATTCTGAAGGCTATCTGAGATGAAGATCTCATAACCTTGACTCCTGATAGACCACTAGTGGAGTATTTATAGCCTCAAATGTAAATCAGGAAACTATTGCATGACACTGTTAACTTCAAACCCTGGGGCATTAGCATCTCATTGTCTCCCTGTGCTGAATAGTCTGTCATATTTAACATATAATAGTGTACACTACATTTCAGGAAAGAAAGCCATTGGCTTCTATTTTTTATTCTACATTGATAGTGGAAAAGAATAAAGGCTTTTTTGTTTGATCGTTTTGTTTCTTTGTTGTTTTTTGGTGTTTGCTCTTTAAACAGCCAGCAGAGAAAATTCGGATTGAAATCATAGCTCTGAAACTTAATGATTCTCGAATCACAATGGATGACACCATCCAACGGCTGTTCATTGAGTGCCGATTCTACAGCCTTCCTGCTGAAGAGACACCAATGTCACTTCCAAAGCCCAAGAATGGACAGTGGGTCTACTATAACTATAGCAGTGGTATGTATAATTCACTTGTAATACAGAGTTTTTTGTTTTTTGTTTTTTTGTAATACAGACTTTTTATGTTTGTCTTTTCGGGCTATGAAGGAAGCTGAAGAACCAAGTAGAAACTTTAATTCCCTAATGTTCACATGACCTCAGGGAAGTCTTGTCGGGCTAGATTAATGAAAGTCAAACCTGTAGCATAAGGTTTAAGAAAATAAAATTGAAGAGAAAACAAAAACAGTGGGAAAACATTGAGCCTAGCTGTTCCAGCTGTTGGATAGTATCAACAGAAAAATGCCACCTAAGTCTGTAATTAAATTTAATTCAAAAGTATGGTATTTCAGTAGGGAAAGAAGTACTAGGACTTGAATCAGTCTCATTCAAATAATTCACTGGCCTAATTTTTGTCTACCTTTTAGATCGATGTCATTGCATAGATGTTTTTAGAGACACATGTGTGTGTCTCTCCCAGTGTCTAGATGTTCCAAGGTGATAACTGAATAGAGGATAAGCTCCTACATTCCCTTTCCATCAGCCAACCCAGACATCTGCTTGTTGCAGCAGGTGAATTTTCTCTTTTAGGGTTTTATGTATCAGCCACTTGACATGTAAGTCTCCCGGACCAAAACAGATGCAGTGGCCACCCTGTAAATTCTTAGATCAATAAGCATTAAAAAGTTTTAAAGAAACCACATTGTAATTAGTATATAATCAAGAAGAAATAAAAAAATTATATCAAGATGCCATAGCCATAAGTTAAAACTGCTTAGTAAGTTCTTCTACAGCCCTGTATTAAGATAAATCATAGAGATAGAATATTGCATTATCTTCAACAAAATAGGCTGTCTCATATTAGTTGAACACTTAATATTTTTTCTTACCATTTTTAGAAATTGCATTTTAAGAAACACATATAATCATGCTGCTATATCAGCAGGATTACAAATGCTTGTGGTTACCTGTTTTGTTTTGCTTTGCTTTGCTTTGTTTACAATTGACATTTTTAGAAATGTGCTCATTACTTGAAACAGTAATCTTGAGTATCCAGAGATTTACTTGAGTCCTCCCTATATCCACAATTCTTACTGTTTATGTGAATTTAGGCAAGGTGGTTAAGTTTCATGGTTCCTTGTCTTCTTATTTGAAAAATGAAGTGCTTTATGAGGTCCTTTGTAGCTCAAATTCTGTAATAACAAATTCTATAATAACAAGTGGTTTGAGAAGTCACATTGTAAGTAAGTAGTGTGGTCAGGACAAGAATCCTTGGTACCTCCTTCCTTTCATTTACTTGATATAAAATAAGCATTAACAAAAATATTTTCTTCAAGCTTCCTAGAGAACGGTGCAAAGGTTGCTTGTGGTTGCAAAGTATTAGAAAAGCAAACCATATCAAAATACTCTTAGTAAAGAAAGAACTATTCAGCTATTTTAATGAACATATCCCAAGAAAAGAAACAAATTTCTTTGCCTTTTGAATTATTCTTTATAAAGGTCAGCAGTTGAATGTGTGGTTGGACTGGCAACAAAATTGTTTTTAAAAATGGATTGTACATTGAGAAATTTGGCCATGTAGCAGGACATATGTTTCTATTTGCTTAAAGAGCAATGCAAATCCTTCTTTGGCTCAAGGCTGCAATACATGCTGAAGTGTCTTGTATTTGGTACATTCTCACATGGTTACCTAAGTCTATTGGAGTTTTGTGGTTGTTGATTGGTAGGTTTGAAATTGTTTTCTTTAGTGCAAGTTACAGTATTATGTAATTGATATTTTAAGAGTTGTTTATGTTTCTAATGAATTAGTCATTTGATAACAAGAAAAACAATAACCTATTATGAATGAACTGAGTAGAAATGTTTACTATACTTTTCTTCAATTTCTATTCCTAATGAGTAACATTTGACTAAGTAGAATTTCAGATTAACTGGAAAGAAGGAGCAAGGAATGCACTCAGAAACAAATTAATACTGTTTTATATCTGTTATACCTTTAAAATGAAGTTCTATGTCATTAGCACATTTGAGAATTATTATTAACCTTGTTAAAGACTTTATTTTTCATTCCAGTATAACATAGCAGAAATGTTTTTAAATTATTATATTTGCATTCCTATTACAAGAAGATGGCCTTGAATCTTTGGTTAATAAGCAACTATTTCATCTAATTATTGTAATAATTTACCATTCACTTGTTACTTGATATAGAAGGTCAATACAGTAGAAGGCTCATGTCTTCCAAATCTCATTAAATGTTAATGAAAGTAATTTTATTTCCAAACCAACTTTTTAGTTCAAACGGAAAATTTAGAGGACAATTAGTACGTGCTATCTACTGTTTGATCACCATACTGGTAAAGAGGTTAGCTGAACCTAGCCTGATTTTACCCTGCATTGTGACCTGATTCTGGGCAAAAAGAATTTGAATTCTGGGGCCTAAATTAAGTAAATAAGATGAGAAATATAGAGTAGTGATCCCTTGGATTATTCATAATTGAATTCAGTCTTTATTAAAGGTGTTAATACCAGTTCTACCTATACAAAAATACATTTTCTCAGGGCTGTTCTCGCTGAAAAAAAACTGAATTTGAACCCACTTTCTGGGCATTCAGTTGGTAGCAAGAACACATTTGTATTTTATTGGGCTTGAAAATGTTTGCTCAGAGAATGCTGAGAAAGCAAGAAAATAGTGTGGTGGGGGAAGATTAATGGCAGGTCTGAGAAATGTTGTCTGGCTGAATAAAGCTTTCTAGGGAACTGACAGTAGGAAGAAAAAGATTAATGAAATCATCCGAAGTTTTTATGAGACTTATACAGATCAGGACCCTTAGTCTCTGTGGACTGAATAGTCTATCTCTTGAAACAATTAAAGTTTAATTCAGAAAATGAAAAGGATGTAGAACATCAGATTCTGTTACTAATGGGAGGAGAAATTTGGCAAAGATAAGGATTACAGGGATGATAATACTATAATACAAAAGTTATTGAAGATTCAAGATTATCAACCCTTTATAATTAAACCATCTGCATTTCCTCTGGCATATGACATTGATAGAGAATACAAGGATTTCTCTAACCTGCAAAGTAAGGGATTTTTTAAATATGAAGAGCCCATCAAAGAAATGTACACATACTTCAGGAAAAGAAAAACTTGTATAAATATTTTAATGCTGAATTTATTGAGACATCATGAGATTAATACAAGTTACCTTTGGCCTCTACAATAACAAGAGGTGTTCAAAGTGGTGGCCATTAGCTTTCAGACATTTGTTAGTACAGCAAACTTCTGCTTGAGTAACCTTGGTCATTGGTATCACTGCATGTGCATTCTCAAGTTCTTCTCTAAGGGCCAGCACTATAGTGGGTTTTCTATGACGTACTACATTTTCTAGGGTCCCCCAAATGAGGGTAACACCAGCTACTGAAAAAAAGGTTCTATTTTTCTTTTCCTCAAGTGTGTATTTATTTTTTGGCAGACTCTGTATATATATTTTTCAGGAGGGTTTTTTTTTTTTTAAGAGAAAAAATTTCAAAACAAGTTAATAGGGTAACAATGGTTAACACATTACATATTGTTATCTTTAAATTGGTTACTCATAGTACAAGCTCTCGGCCTTTAATTGTCCAAACAATAGTAGTACAAACTTTTCTTTTAAATGGACTAAGAGAAATTAGTATAACTGTCTTAACTATATTACATATATACATTTTTTTTTTTGCTTTTCCCTTCCTTCTTTTCTCCATTTCCCCATCTTAGTTTCTTTTTCCTTTTAAAGTTTCTTCCCATTTTACAATATCTATTGTACATTTTGAATCTTGTTTACTGTTTCAGCTTCTCACAATAGGGAGACAATATGATGTTTGCACATGTGTGTCTGGTTTCTTTCACTTACGAGTACAGTCTGGAGTTGCATCCATGTACCTATAGAAATCTCCAGTTTTTCCCTCTTTATGGCTGAGGAGTACCCCATTGTATAAAAAGATCACATCTTTTTTATCCATTCCTTGATTGATGGGCATTTGGGTTGTTTGCAACATCTACTTATTACAAATTGTGCTGCTATAAACATGGGTGCACACATAGCACTATGGTACGAAGTTTTTAATTCTTCTGGGAAGATCCCCAGAAGATGAATAGTTGGGTCAAATGGGACCTCCAAGCCTAGCTTTTTGAGAATTCTCCACACTGATTTCCACAGTGGTTGCACTAGTCCACACTCCCAACAGCAGTGGAAAAGGGTTCATTTTTCCGCACAGCCCCTCCAGCATTTGTTATTAGTTGATTTCTTGATGATAACCATTCTTTCGAGGGTAAGATGGAATCTCAGTGTCATTTTAATTTGCAACTCTGAAATGACCAGTGATGTTGAACTTTTTTTCATGTATTTATTTGCTTTTTTTTTATTTGTTTGATTTCTTCACCTGAGAAGTGTGTATTCATCTTAGATGCTCATTTTGGGGTTGGGTCTTTAAATTTGGGAGGTCTGATTTTTTGTGTGCTCTTTATATGTTCTCAATAGTAATTTTTTGTCTGAAGAACAGCTGGCAAACATTTGTCCCACATTGTGGGTTGTCTTTTCACTCTGTTGGTCATGTCTCTTGCTGTGCAAAAGCTTTTCAATAAGATGAGTTCCCAGTTGTTGATTCTTCGTGATAGTTCCTGTGTGATTGGGGTTTTATTCATAAAATCTTTGCCTGCACCAATGTCTTCATGAGTTTTACCTATTCTGTCTTCCAGCAGATTTACTGTTTCTATTTTAATATTTAGATCTTTGATCCATTTCGAATTTAGTTTAGTGCATGGTGAAAGATGTGGGTCCAGTTTTAGTCTTTGGTACCTGCAGAGCCAGTTTTTCCAGTGCCATTTATTAAAGAGGCTATCTTTCTTCCAATGAATGGTTTGGCACCTTTGTCAAAGATAAGGTGGCTCACTATGCCTGGGGTTGTTTCTGCATCTTCTAATCTGTTCCATTGATCTTTGGGTCTGTTTTTGTTTTGGTTTGGTTTGGTTTTTTGCT